AATATCTGTTGAGGGTTGATCGCCACCTAAGTTAAGACTTGTCATGTGTTGAGGTGGGCAATAAACATGAATGAGTGGAACTCCCTCTTCCTCATTGTTTACCATGTCGTCAATAATGACTTCAGTTGCTTCTTCTTCTTCATCAATGGCATCGAATTCAACATGTTCCTCATCAGATTCGTAAAAAACTTGAGAAGAATCAAGTTGTTGAGAGAATTGTTGTTGTTGTAACGTAACATATAGCACAATATCCGGAATACTCATGACTATGGAACATGTTACACACATCTTCATCGTCTTAAATCTTTAATTAGAAAATTTTGCATTGGTCGTGCCCGCCAAAGAACACAGGATTCTTGTAGATTATTTGGCCAACTGGACCACGTTGTAATTTCTTTTCTAATCTTGATTTTAAGTGTAAAAAATTTGATCTTCTGTCAATCAAAAATCTAGTAACATCAGTATTTCGAAAATTGAAACTGGCTGAGTTACATTCAAAAACCTCACCGTTTAAATGTGCATTGATCATGTATTGTGGTGTTTGAGCCATAGCTAAAATGTTAGTAAACTTGTGTTTGAAAGGACTGTTTTACTAATTAACATGATAATAAATCAACTATCTCTAATGTATTTATAACAATAAAATGTTTTTTTATTATTAGATATGCACTCATCACATGTCTTTGTGTGCCTACAAGCTGATTCTCTGCACGACAAGACTAAACTCTGCGTGCCTACAAGGTTCTCTGCATGAAAAAACTAAACTCTGTATGGCTACCCTCTGCACTCTGCATGCCTACAAGATTCTTTGTATGGCTACCCTTTGCACTCTGTATGCCTACACTCTGATTCTATGCATGCCTACATGATTCTCTGCATGGCTACACTCTGCACTTTGTATGCCTACAAGATTCTCTGCATGGCTACACTCTACACTCTGCATGCCTACAAGATTCTTTGCATGGCTACACTCAGCACTTTGCATGCTTACACTCTGATTCTATGCATACATACACGATTCTCTTCATGGCTGCACTCTGCACTCTGCATGCCTATATTATGCACTCTGCATGCCTACAAGATTCCTACTAATAAATGTATACACATGGCTACAGTATTAGTCTCGCAAGATGCTGCATACTTGTAAGACTACATCTTCATATCTTTAAGACTACACTATACGCTGCATACTTGTGATCATATCTTTGTAATAAAGGAAAAAATAAATACCTTTAAGACTACACTCTATTAATCAATTACTGTAAGATTCTCTGCATTCCAATGACCAAGAATCTTGTAAGACAAGACTACACTTGCCCGATTCCCTTCACCCATGTCATAAAAATTCAGCATGCATGCTTGACAACACTACACTCTAGCAGAACATATATTTTCACAACACTTTGCATGCATGACAACACTACACTAATATTTTTGACTTTACATGCATGACAAGACCACATTTGCACTCTTCCCTGAACCATTGCCATCATATTTCAGCATGCATTAATAGTGGTAGTATTCACATGCCTACATTATTACCGAAGCAGACTAACACTCTGCATGAATGACAATACTACATCATGCATTTTCATGTGACTCATGCACTTAGAAACTTTTACACTTACAGCATACATTTTCATGTGACTCCTGCACTTAGAAACTTACTTCAGCATGCATTTTCATGTGACTTCTTTCGTCACATTTGACCATTATAAATACATGTTCATCAAGGAACAAACTCTTCTCATCACATTACCAACTCTACTCCTCATACGTTCTACAAAATCTTTTTGTCACTCAGCAAACTTCACCCACAATGTCTCTACTCACAATGGACAATGATCACAGAGGCACAATTGAGAATATCACAGAGTTTGTAAGTATTTTGCTTTTTGTTGTCATTCTTTACTAATGAAATAAAATCAAATGAAAGAAATGAAAAGATTCAAATAATATGAAAGAAATGAAAAGATTCAAATAAATCAAGACCATTTGTTTTGTTTTTTGTTTTTAAATAATTTTTATAGTATAATATAATTTTGGATAAAAATCATTGATAAAAAATTTTTTCATAAAAAATTTAAATGAAAATTTGCTTTAAATAGTTATTTTTAAAATTTTATTTTAGATATTTTACTAGTTTATTGAAAAAAAACTGGATATCAAAATTTTAAAAAATCACTTAATTTTAAAACTATTTCAAGTAGCTTTTCATAAAAATCATTTTTGAACTACAATTTTTTTAAAAAGTTGTGATTTCGGCTATATTTTGATATTCAATATAGAATGTCAAAATTAAGTTTTTAATTAAAAAAATCAAATATTAAAAAATTTATAATATTTTGCAGTAACTATTTTATTAATGTGTAATTGTGAAATTAATCTTGTAATTATTTTTGTTGAGAAATTTATCATTTTAAGTAGTATTATTATTACTCCATTCTAAATATCTTTGATTATTCTTATATTTAATTTTCTTCCTAAAATAATTAATAATTAAGAAATTGAATATAAACAATTTGACAGTTGTTTTTCAACTTTTAGATTATTTGTTTCTTAAAAATTGATTATAATGAAGTACTTACATTATTTACATTTAAAAAAAGGAAGTTGTTTTTCAACTTTTAGATTATATATATATTTTAAATTGATTATGATGAAGTACTTACATTATTTATATTTAAAAAAGGAAAACAGTTATATTAAAAACTAATGATATTTTAATACAAATTAATTAATTAAATTATTTTTTAATTGATGTAACAAAATCTTAAATTAACAAATTAAAGAATATATTTTGTTTTGTAGTAACTCTCTATTACCACAAAAATTAGCTTGATAATTTGAAGTTTGACTAGAAGATATACAAAATATGTTTATGTACATATTCAAATTCATGTTTTAAGGAATAAAGCAACTGCTAGCTACCATTATTATTATTATTATTATTATTATTATTATTATTATTATTATTATTATTATTATTATTATTATTATTATTATTATTATTATTATTATTATTAAGTTTAATTACAATCCTTCTATTTTATTTGATTCATAAAATTGATCACATTTTAAATTTAAATAGTTTTATAATTAAAATTAATGATGTTTTTATTTTTTTAAATGATAAGTTACCTGTAAAATATACAAATTATTGTATATAAATATATTATTCAACTTTGTAAATAAACTATAATTAAAACAAATTTTATCGATTTTTTTATAAAAAAAATATTAAAAAAATTAAAACTATTTGAAAACATCAAAACTGTTTAAATTTAAAATAAAGTCATTAATTTCGTTAATCATACAAAATTGGGGACTGAATATATTTAACCAAAATTTTACTATTATATTTTATTATAGACTTAAAACATTCTTTGCTTTTTTTTAATTTTTTTAAAATCTTTTGACCATAATAAAATTTCAATCTCCATTTTAATTTATGTTCTTGTTTTTACGATCTTAAAAAAAAAAAAATTAATTAGATAAACTAAGTATCTTCTGTTCTTGTTTTTACTTTTTTTTTTTTAATCTCCACATATTTTTTCTAATTACATAGATAAATTAAATATCTTATTCGCACAATTATATGGATTAGTCTTTCGAGTTTATAAAGAATTAAGAACAACAAAAAAAATTAAGAGAATTTAACATTGTTGGATACTAAATTCATATTTAAAACTTTTGATAAAGTGAAAAAAGTCATTTACCATTTTATTGAAGTGTTTTTGAGTTTTAATCTCCGTTTGTTAATTAAAGTAACGACAATCTTTTAGATTATTATCAAGATTTAAACCTTATATATATATATATATATATATATATATATATATATATATATATATATATATATATATATATATATATATATATATATATATATATATATATATATATATATATATATATATATATATATATATATATATATATATAAACAAATAAAAAAAATAGTAAAATAAATGCAATTAAAGTATAATTTTTTTTTATTTAAAGAAGATGCTCCAAATCTAAGCATATATTATATAGATGGAATTTTTTGACTAATATATGAAACTTTATAGTGATATTTTGACTAGGAGATTCCAACATATACATCAAATTTTGTATATAAGCATAGTCATATGAGCATACACATTTCATTTTCATTTTCTTCTTACATTATATACTACTATACTTCATAATCACAATTTTAATTAACTATAAACCCAATTAATTAATAATACTAATCACCATCCACACAAAACACACCTACATTTCCCACCCTCTAGAATTTGAAACCCCCTCACACCTCAGTCAAACATTTCATCAAATTTGAATCTTAGTAACTCTTCAGTTACTCACTCACTCAACCTTGGTTGTACTATTTGTCAATTACACGTGTCACAACATAATTGGTTCAACCTTCTTCTATAAAACAACCAAAATCAAAACCAAACATAACTCTCTTCATTTGCTTCAACTTGTTAAGGTGAGTGCTTTTTCTTTGTTTTTCTTCTTCAATTCAAAATGGGCCTTGCAAAGTTCGTCTTTTTTTCACTTCTTCTTCTTCATGTTGCTACCAATTCTTCAAGTTTTCATCAACTGGGTTAACGATTAAAATCTTGAAAATAAAAAAGTTCCCATTTTTATTTTTTTGTTTCCTTTCATGTTTTTTGTCTTTGTGTTAACGTTGTAAACAACGTAGAGGCGATGTCAGTGGATAAGTCGGTGCATGCATTTGTCTCTTCATCAAAATTTCATATTTTTTTGTGTTTTTCAAACTTATTTATTATCTTCATTTATTTCATTTTTTCAATTTTTTGACTCACTTTTTATTTATGGAAAAAGAAATTTTACGCCTAGGATCTGCTAACGTTTAGTCCTTATCTTAATAGTGATTCCGCTATTTCGTTTATGGAATTCACTGCTGTTTATTTGTTGTTTTATAATATGTTTTTATGTTGTTGGTGATATCTAGGTAAAAAAAAACAGTGAGGAAGAAGAAGAAGATGACTGAAGTTACTATGAAGAATCAGCCGTCAAAGACACACTGGTGGTGGCTTGATGAGCACACCGCCGTTAGAAGATCACCATGGCTTCAATCTACACTCACTGGTATGGTTTCCATTTCTTTTCCTTTCTCTTATTCAATGGATTTTCTGTTTAAAATTCATTTTGTTGAAGAATTAGGCAAATGAAATTGAGTAATCCTCACCGGTTATTCTTCTTTTCATGTTGCTTATTAGATTGAATTATGGTTAGAAGAGGTGTTTATATTTATTGTTTGACAATCGACAGTGTTTCGAATAGGATTAGTTTCAGTGTGAAGGGCGAAACAACTAAAGTTTTGATATAGAACATGATGATTATTAAGTGATATGTGTGTGTTTGTTTTGTGGCAGAGCTGAATGAGAAGACAAAGGCAATGTTAAAGTTAATTGAAGAAGATGCGGATTCGTTTGCTCAACGAGCTGAGATGTTTTACAAGAAGAGACCGGAGCTTGTGAGCATGGTTGAAGATTTCTACAAGATTCACCGTTTGTTAGCTGAGCGGTATGATCAAGTTCGGCCTGAAGCTGGAACTCGCCTGCTTCCTCCTTCTGCTTGCTTGAAGCATTCTCAATCAGAGAAGTTGATGAGTTTTGATTATCGTGGTTATGATAGCTATTCTGAGAATTGTGATGTGGAGGAATCTGTGGAATCGGAAATTGATGATCCTGAGCATGAAGGGGAAGTTCGGTTTGCGGCTCCAAATGAAGTGATGAAGTTGTTGAAAGACATTGAAAGAGTTGGTGAAGTGAAGAAGATTGATAAGGATCAAATCAAGCAGAAAGATGAGATTCTTGATGAAGTAATGATGTTGAGGGAACAAATCGAACGAATCAGAAAAGAAAATGAAGCACATAAAGATGAACTCGCGCAGAAAGATATTGTTTTTAACGATGTAGTATTGAATTTGAGGGAAGAAATAGAGAAACTCAAGAAAGATAACAAAACGAAGAATGAAGTTCATCAGAAATATGCCATTCGCGGCGAAGTAATGAAGTTGAGGGAAGAAATAGAGCGGCTTAGAAAAGAGAATGAAGCTCAAAAGGAAGAACTCAAGAAGAAAGATACCTATAAGAATGGAGTAATGAAGTTGAGGGAAGAAATAGAGCGACTCAGAAAAGAGAATGAAGCTCAAAAGGAAGAACTCAAGAAGAAAGATAGCATTTGCAATGAAGTAATGAAATTGAGGAAAGAATTAGAAAGACACAAGGAAGAGAATAAAGCTCAAAACAATGAACTCAAGCATAAAGACACCATTCACGATGAAATAACGATGTTGAAGGAAGAGAGGGAAAGTCTTAGAGAACAGAATAAGACACAGAAGGCCGATCTCAAGCGAAAAGACAAAGAGAAGATAGAGGTGATAAGACAACTGAGTTCAACAATAGATTTGCTGAAGCAAGAGACCGTGAAGATGAAAAGCTTCATCGCTAAGGAATCTGCCAAGAAATGGAAGACACCATTCGAGTTCAATAAACTAGTCGAAACATTCTCAGGCAAGTTGTTTAAGGGAGGTCCTAGAAGGAATAAGCCAAGTGTTGTAGCTCTCTAGATATGGTTCAAAAATTAAAAATACTATAGTAGTAGTTCTTTAAAACAATAGTATAAAGATAAGTAGATACATGTGTTAGAACTTTCTTGAGAAATCATTTTTACCAATATTCCAATTGTGTTACTTTTCTCTCCTTTTCATAGCTTATATCTTAATGCAAAGTGCACAAAAAGAAGCAGAGTCATTAAAAGCTTCTTTTTTGTCACATAGGAAAGCATTCATTGTTCAATTGATTGCTAAAGACAATGGTCTTTATAAATAAATACTGTTTTGTCCCTTCATTCCTAAAATCTATGGTATATTCCTCATTTTAAAGTGATTTAAAAAGAATACACAATTCATTATACTAAAAAAAGTAACATGCACTGAAAAAGTTAGAGTAAAGTTTTATACGCCTCATGTTTTCTATCACATCTCATGACATAAGTTGCTATCTATCTGAAATGATATCATAGAACAATGACAAAAAATTCTCTCCATTTATTGTTTCTACATTCAAATTACTCATATGACAGATACTTGAAATGTTCACTAGCTAGTCTTAGATTTTGGAATAAATATAGTACATGCTTTTGGAACATAAACAGAAACAAACATCAACATGTACTCACATGCCATGAAGCTGAATTATGCAAATTAAGATCACAGCAAGGTGTGAAAATGACAATATCGGGAGAGGTGCACCCTGAGAAGAAGGAGCTAAAGCCGGAGATGTAGACTCGGACTCGGACGGTGGAAAAACTGAACCAGGCCCTTGATGAGTTGAGATGTCTGGATTTGGAGGGCTAGGACTTGAAGGAATTGTTGGTAGTGAAGAATCGGACGGAGAAAAAGCAGCTCGTCCGGGGGAAGGAAACAGTGGCTCCATATCTGGTGACAGTGTAGGAGAAAAGGTAGGAGCTTCTGGTAATACACTTGGTGCTGCTGAGATTACAGAAACATGCATGTCTTTCGCAGAAGCCAGCGAGCAACTGCATGATATCATTAAAGCGATGAAAACTGCTGAGAATGAACAAAAGGAAGCCATAAATGATGATGGCTAAAAATCTTAATTATGGACACTTTTTGAAGGTGTTAAGGAATGTGTCTGAGAGAGAAAAATGTGTTTTTGGAGAGAGTTATGAGGAGGTTGATGATAGAATAATGAAACTTAAAAAGGGTGTATAAGAAGTGGTAGTGGTGGTGGGGTCATAACTTTTATAATTGGAACTTTTTTTTATCTCACAGCTTGCATATAAAACTGTGATGCTACAAGACAAAGTTGATAAGAAGTTTTACCTTGTGGAGCACATGAATGAATCTGAGGTATCTTTAGCATAAAAGTAAACACTAAAAAGTATTAAGAAAAAAACACTGGTATATGAGTATGAGTTAGAATCTTAGTTACTAGGAATTGAGGAGAATATGCAAAAAAATTTACTAATATTTTTCTTCCTTTATCTCTTGTCTACTATGAAACATGAATACTGAAAAACATGACACGTCGATACCGATAATTATTAAAAGAACAAATTAAACGTAATGACAAGTGTTATATTGGTTTTTGACACTGACATAAACATTTTTCAAGACATGTCAATGATGCATAGTTTGTATATTCTCTAGAGGCCTTTAGTTTGAGCTCCACTAGAGAGGCCTTTGATTAAGTACACGTGGTAGGTCCTGTCCTGAGAATGTAATAATAATGTTATGGAATTGTAGGGAAAGAAAGGGTTGGAAGAATAGAGAAATTCTTAGGGATGAAGTAAGTAAAGTGTGTTTAGTTGATTATAACTTAGTCTAATGTTCAAATTATACATAATGAATCATTGTGAATTTATAATTTAAGATTGAAACTTGAATATTAAGTGAGTGGTTACTTGAAACTTTGGAAAATGTTTAAAAGCAATGATGCATAGCAAAAGGGTAAGTAAATAGTAAAAAGAGTGTAGGGGAATCTTAAGGTACTGTTTTTTTGTTGTTGTTGTTCTCTGATGCTGATGCTGCATGTATTGGTTGATGAAATTGGTGGGTTCATGAAAGTGTGATATTATAGTTAATGATTAATGAAGGAAAACACATATGAAAGAAACATGTTTTTGATTGTTGGTAGAGTACTACAGAGTGAATGATAATAAGTCAAAAAAGTGTGAAGGGTAGGGACTAGAGAGTATAGGAAGCAGTGTCATAAGCATGTCTCAAACAATTGGGTTCACTTTAACATCAAAAAGTGCTATTTGATTATACTATTAGATAGCTGCTTGTAGAACAAATAGCAATAAGTTGAGATGGCCGAGTTGGTCTAAGGCGCCAGATTAAGGTTCTGGTCCGAAAGGGCGTGGGTTCAAATCCCACTCTCAACAAATTAATTTTGATTTTTCGTCTTCGTTTGTTTCTCCTTTTATATTATATGTTTGTGTTTTATTTCTTCACTAACCACTTGTCACCCTCAACGTTAGTGGAACATTACATTTAACTTCCATAATGTCAGTTCGATTCCCAATTTTGAATTAATTTTGATTTTTCGTCTTCGTTTGTTTCTCCTTTTATATTATATGTTTGTGTTTTATTTCTTCACTAACCACTTGTCACCCTCAACGTTAGTGGAACATTACATTTAACTTCCATAATGTCAGTTCGATTCCCAATTTTGAATGCTTTGAATCTTTTATTTTCTGTAACCTCGATTTTACAACTGAAAACACTATTTAATAAAAATGCAATTTTCCATAGAATTCACGAAGTAAGTTTCTGCATATTTTTGGAGATTCTTTTTTTACATGATATTTCTTTATTATAAAATAAAATTACAAGATATTATAAGATTTAAGTAGTCATAAATTAAAATTACAAGATATTACAAAATATTTCTATTAAGTGATTAAAAATAAATATTTAAACGATTTAGCTTGGATTTTGTGAAAAAAATATTAACTGACTAAGATTTTTTTAAAGATTAAACAAAATTAATTATAGTCCGCATCATATATCTTTTTTTAAACATTTTCTATATTAGCTTTAAGAGTTTTTACTTCTAATTGTTTGTGTTTTTGTAATTTTTTAATAAAATTTCGAAAAATTGTAAAAAAGATTGATATGTGTCGAAAATATCATAACTATACAAATTTTATTGTATTTTTATTGTAAAAGTTACGGTAACAAAAATGTAGAAGATTTGGATACAAAAATTAAAAGAAATGAATAAAGATGAATAAATTGGTGAAAATTCAATAAACATGAAACTGCTGGCGACTCTCAAGAAAAAATGGGTTGCATCATGTACGGTGGTGCAATGCGTTGTATAAAGCTCGTATTGAAGACGTCAACACAACTGCTTAAATGCTGCGTGTGGTTAGGACATTCCATCACGTTTGCGCAATACGCTTGAAGTCATGACATTTAGTCATGACATCCAATTTCACTTACCAGAAGAACATTCTTCATGTATGTCATAACATCAGTTATGACATTCATACATACTCCAATGTTTTGCCATAAAATGCAGTCAATCAAAAGCATCTACAAACTCCCCCTTTGGCAAATTTTTGGCTAAAACGCTCTTGTCGCTACTCGAAAAATGCATCGTGCAACGACGGGGAGGCGAAAAGGATAGACAGAAGAGTCGCCACCGAACTTTATTTATCCCATGAGGGGAAAGGAAAATATTGAGAAAACTTTAAGAAAGAAATGGATAAGATGGTCTCGCAACCAAGAACGGGTTCGGAAGCCGGTTATGCGAGGGGAAGGTATTAGCACCCCTCGCATCCATCGTACTCGATGGGAACCATTTGCTTGTCAACGTGTGATTATATCTGTTTAAATATTATGCTATAAAAGTGTTTTCCAAAGGGTAAAGAAAGAAGGTTTAGAAACTAAGAAATGAGGCATAGCGAGGAAGAAAAGAGAAAGGACAAACTCGGTAGGACTTCGCGGTCCTATGCCTACGTATTCTCAGTAGATGTGAGAAAGTCAGAGTCGACGTAGTTTGGGGAACTACAGATATAGGGGGAATGTGCTCGGCAAGGATTGTGGCCCTTGTGCCTACGTATCTTTACTTGAACGAAGTAAATAATCAGAGCAGCCGTAGTTCGGCCTACGATTTGTTGATGTTTTTATGGATGATGCTATCGTGCGTATTCTAGCAGTTTAGGTGTTTTGCTGCTCGCATGTGAGGAGACTTATGTGTTACCTGTTTGCGGTAGAACGGACGTAACATATCCTTTTTGAAAGATTGATTATTTTTTGCCATGCGAGGCAAGATATCATGTTTGATTGGTTGAATTGTTTTTAGGGGTGAGATAAGTCCTTAGATAGTAACCTCTACGGGTAGTACCCAATTCTTTACCTCAAAGTCTTTGTTATAAAAAGGTGTGGCGAACATAGCGTCTTCGTATTGAAAGACGAGTATCAAGGCCACCCACACTATAGTGAATATCCTGACACTTGGAGAGGAAGGAGACTACACTCAATCCTCTCTCTTTAATTCAATACAAAGAGAACTTCATTCTCTTATTAAAGTGTTTTTGGTTTTGAATGGTAAGTGCTTTGCGACTGTAAACCCTACGGTAAATGTCAGCACTCGGGATAGGAGAAGGCCTACGCCTAACCACTCCACGACCATTCAAGTTTTGTTACGAAAATGAGTTTAAAAATGCACTCGGTGCGGGACCGAGGTTTTAGGTCATAAAGGTTTCGGAAGGAAGTTATGAAAGTGAGAGGTAGTGAAAGAGATAGGTGATGGATAAAGTTGCGTCTTCGTATTGAAAGATGAATATCAAGACCACTCACACTACAATGAGCATCTTAATATTCGGAGGGGAAAAAGTATACACTTAATCCTTTCTTAATATAATTCAATACAAAGAGAAAATGATTCTTATGATTAAAGATGTTTATGAAAATGAATTCGGTACGGGACCGAGGTTTTAGGAGGGAAACAATGTAAGTTCATGGTGGTAACCAAAAGAAAACAGAGCTTTAATATGTTAACAAACACAAAGGAAACACATGTCAATAAATCT